TATATCAAATTATATAAATGTATTTATATCAAATTATATAAATGTATTAATATATATCAAATTATATAAATGTATTAATGTATATCAAATTATATAAATGATGTGGTTTCTTTACTACTATTTGTAGGAACTTTAGTTTGTTATACAATACAGAAAGGTTTTTCACACACACATTGGACCAGCTGACAGTTGATAGCACATAACCTAATAGAGTTGACAAAACATTATAGTGTTTTTAGTAATGTTGTATGGGGGATTTTAGTCCCAGATGATCCGATGAATTAAAGTTACTCTTTGCAGAGGCAGAGCGTTTGTGTTCTTCCTCCAGGCAGGCAGACATTCAGACATATGCTGAGACTTTAATCACAATTAGCATTCATTGATCTTCATGCATACTTCCTTTTTATACTTTTAATGTTCCACCAACAAATTCAAAACCCTGAATTAGGTTTACCTAACAAGTACAGTGCAACACGTGTTTATAATCAAAGGCAAGTTTTATTTAATCCAATATGTAGACATCATGGGAAATTTCTATTTCTTTCCATGCTAAAACAGTGGATAGAGGTAGAAGGGCACATGTTTTTGAATCTTAAGACGCTGAATGTTAAGACGCACAGGGACATTTTTATTTTTATTTTTTTTTACAAATGGACTGTGTTTATTTTACAGTAGTAATGAAGATTTCTCAGTCACTTACAGTATTGGGCCACCAAAGCTACTCAAATGCCCGTTATCATAACAGAGGAAATGGGATTCTGTACCCAGCTAAATCTATTTATGGAATGAAGTCATTCAGTATTCACAAAAAATACATTAAATTGTCAAAAGTGGACTTAATTTTATAAACATGGGTACATTCCAATCTGAAATAGTCATTCTGGTACAAGATACACATTTCATGGCACTCATTAGTTTACCGTAGGTGCTACTGCCACCCAGAAATCTGTTTAAAATTTAATTGTCAAGTATATCAGTCATGACACATTGCCAGAAATGTGCTGAATTTTACTGGACCGTTTGAAGCAAAACATCCACTTTATATAATCGGTTTCATGTTCGTCTTGCCATTGTAAAAATGATTGACAAAACATCACATAAACCCAAGTTTAATTTATTACAAATTTGATAACAGTGCCATTAATAATTGTGTAATGACACTGCTTTCTCTCTGTTCCCAATAACCACTCAAGAGTCAAATTTACAGAAAACTCTTAATGTGAAATTACTGTTACATGTAACCGTCACCTTTTGTTTACAGATACGTTTGCTTTGACCAAATGATCACAATGTGAACCTTATTCAAGAGATATTTGGATCCAGTCAATGGCGCTGTGAATACAAGTGCTTCCTAACAGGGTTGTACTGTATGCAGTCAGCTTTGCATTGTATGTTCTGACGCACGTATTCTGTGAGCCCAACGACCCACCCCTCCCCTCTTCAAAAGCAAAAACATACATTTCTTTACAGTATCTTAGAAAGAGTTGCTCTGTGTGTTTTGGGAGTGAGGTCACATTGTTGAGTCTACCTTAAGCACAAACTAGGCCTAGAATACCAAGACAGCAGACATGCAGACTGTACTCATAAAAGGCACACAGTATACTGTACATGAAGAAACACAGTTCAAATGGTTCAGGACGTATGAACAGAACTATAAAAGTACTAATATTATCTAAATCTAAAGGTCATTGGCAATAAATGAAATGTAGGCTGTAGAGCCTCATTAACCTGCGCCCCTCAGAAGTTGTTTAAACAGGTTAAGTATTTGGATCATTTAAATGCATTAAAAAAGACAGTGAAAGTAATTTAATGGCACATGTATACACTCTATATTAGAACAGTCTGTGGAGTCTAATTTGAAGCTGAAAGACTGTGCTTGACTAAATCCAGTTTCACTTTTATCTTTTTGTTTCTAATGCCCATCCACTCAACTGCAACTGTCAAACTTCACAACTGAGGGTCAAATAAATGAGGCTCCACTGAGAAAAAAAAAAAACATATAAAAAAAACATAACTAAGTCTGCTAGTGTAGTCAAATGTCAAATCTCTCCTTGGGCATGTTGCAAGTAATGCATTTGTAGATCCAACTCCCGAGGAAGAGAGCACCCGCATATCATGCACTGGAGAAGTCGTTCTGGAGCAAAAGGCAAACGGGATCCGAGTTTGTGAGGTTCTGTCCGTGGGGCAAGCTGAGGTAGGGGCAGGGTCTGTGGCATGTGTGGCCTCTCGCTCATGACTGCCTGTGGTGTGAAAAAAATATTTGGGTGTGGAGGTCTTGAGAGTGCACCAACTGTGACAGAGTGAAGAGGGTGAGGGCCTGGCAAAGCCAGAGGAGGGAGCGGAGCAAGTGGAGGTGAGAAAAAAGGAGAAGGCTGATTTATGATTATTTGAGTGCCTGTTACCATTGGTTGCTGCTGCAGCTCCTGTCCATTCCCTGGTTTGAGTTGCCCAGTGAGCAGTGTTTGTGGTCCCACAGGATTACTTTGGAAGCCCCATACAGGCGTTCCCATCCCCTGGCCAAAACGGTGAGGCTCGTATTGAATGGAGATGGGAACCTTCTGTGTCGCTGTCTGACTCTGTACATTGGCCCAGCCAGATGACACCTGCTTTTGCTGCAGCTGAAAATCTTGACTATTTACTAATTTCTCAGGGGAGTTTATAGTCTTTGGAATTCCTGGTGGTGTTTGTATGTCCCACAAGGTGCTACCGACCCCGTGAGAAACAGGAGTTGAAATTGGCATAGCACTGCTTTGGTCTATTTGAGCTGAGGTGGATGCACCTACTAAGCCAGAAGCCCACTGCTTTTGCAGCTCACAGCTGTTCCATGGCTTCTCTGGCTGGCTAACAGTCGACGGTATAACTTGAGGACTACTCATGTCCCACACTCTAGCGTCCTCTTTTTTAGGAGGTATGGATGGCTCCTTTTGTGTTGACACCGGGGCACCTGGCCATCTTGGCAGCTGAAGCTCTTGGCCAAGCTTGTTTGGAGAGCCCTGTGAATTTGCCAGCGGAGCAGGTCTGACACTCCACAGAGCTGCCCCATCTATGTAGGACGGAACGGGAAAATCATGTGGCAAAGAGCTTGTGGAAGCGAGCACCGTGGACGTGGGTGTGCTGCTCCACGTGACTGGCTTGGGCTGCCTCAGCTGCTCCATCTCACTCACTGCTGATGGGCTGGATTTTTTGGGCACAGCTGCCAGGTGGGAGCTGACCATAGCAGCTGCACTCTCTTTCATGTGTGATGACTCTGAATTCTGAGCAGATGTGGGGCCTGACGGAGTTATTGAAGGGCTTTCTGCCCAGCCTGGACTCCTCATGTGGTGCTGCTGTAGGCCTGGCTGCGGTGGGCTGTCAAACGGCGTCTGCTGTGCGTGTTGCTGCTGTGACGACGGGACGGGCATTACCTCCCCGCCGTCCACCTTCCACTGCACTGGTTGAGGGTGTAGCTCCGGCAGCCACGGCTCCTTCTGCTGTCTGCCTTGTAAATCCATGCGAGATGAGAGCATGGAAGACTGCGGTTGGACTGCCCTTCTGTGCAACTCGGCATCTCTCAGTGCCGAAACTGGATATGGAGACAGCTGAGAGCTAACCGTCCCTGAGCCTCCTAACGGTCTAGACCAGCCCCACATGGGCCTCCCCCCTCTCCTCCCCCGGCTACCCCTGCCTCTCATCCTAGCACCCATTGGGAAAGAATTATACTGGCTGAAACTCTGGCGCTTGCGAGCATGGATCTTCTGGTGTACTAGCAGGCTGCTAAACCAGGAAAAGGTTTTGTGACACTCGTCGCAGCGATGAGGTCTCTCTCCTGTGTGTGTGTTCATGTGATCGCGGAGCAGATAGGCTAATCCAAAGCTCTTGTCACAAAGGTCACACTTGTGAGGTTTGTCACCATTATGTGATAACATATGGTGCTGCAGTTGGGTCTCGTCGCTGTAACCTTTGCGGCAGCTGGTGCAGCGGAACGGTTTTTCCTGATGCAGCTTTTGATGTGTTCTCATGTTCTGCAGGAAGGCAAAGTCTTTCCCGCAGTCGGGACATTTGTATGGCTTCTTGCCTGTATGGATGATGAGATGTTGTTGTAAATAGCTACTGAATCTAAAGCCCTTGCCGCACACTTTGCACTGGTAAGGCTTGTCCTTGGAATGTATGCGCATATGCAGCTCTAACACTGAGCGGTGGCGGAACGTTTTTCCGCACTCAGAACATTTATATGACTTAATACTTATGTTTTCACTCCTCCATTTCCCCGGCACATTATCACTGCTTAACGGAGTCAGCTGTTTTTTAGGAGGTGCTGCCACCTTTTCTAAATATTGTGCTGCAGATTTGTGACTTAACAGATGTACATTTAAACTGGATTCATCACGATAAACACACGGGCAGTGGGGACAAGTGTGTCCTTTGTCCCAGACCTTGTTAATCTCACTGGGGGGTCTGGGTGTTCGCTCCAGCATCTCATACTCTGCCTCATGAATAAGCATGTGGGCCCTCAGGTTAGCTGGAGCCCCGTAGGTCTGGGGACAAAGGGGGCAGTTGAATGTGCGTTTCGGTTCCTCGCTCTGGTTTGTGTTCTCTTTTCCCGGGCCCCTAACCGCCTCCTGTACGGGCACCGGGGCCTGCTTGCTGGGCTGCTCGGGGGAGGAGTTTGTCTCACGCAGTCTATGCTGGCGGCAGTGTGCCTTCATGTTCTGAGCAAAGGCAAATGTTTTCCCACATTCAGGACAGCGGAAGGGTTTCTGACCCGTGTGCAGATACTGATGCTGATGGAGGAGGCTGCTATACTTAAAGGTCTTACCGCAGATGTTGCACAGGTGCGAGCGCGTGTTGTCCGTGTGCTTGCGCCGGTGGTCTTCCATGACGGAGTAGTGTTTGAAAACCATGCCGCACTCCGGGCACTCGTAGGGTTTCAGAGCGGTGTGACATCGCTGGTGGTGACGCAGGGCCATGGTGTTGGGGAAGGTCTGACTGCACTCTTGGCATGTGAAGTTGCTCTCCTGGGAGTGGGTCATCATGTGCTTAGTGACAGACACCTTAAACTGGAACTCTTGGCGGCACAGTGGGCAGTGGTAAGGCTTTTCTACTGTATTGCAGCAGTTGTGGTCCCTCAGCTTATCCACTGTAGAGAAGACCCTCTCACATTCTGCACACTGGAAACTCCCCTCCTCCTCCTCCTCCTC